TTCTTTTCAATCAGCCCTAGATCCCTGGCCTGACAAGGAATCCATGGCCACCCTCAGGCGGGTTTATGAAGGGTGACAACGGTGTGCCAACAGGTTGGGCAACCAACGTGAGGCTTTGTATTGAGATATGTCTTTGATTGTAGAGATTTATTAGCCTTCCACTTGGTCCAAAATATAGGATAATGTTCTAATAAGTGTATATGTATAGCATTTCACATTTTCCCCCTTTACCTCAGGCGTCCATAAAGCACTGAGAAGCAGCAATAGGAACCATGAATTTTAAATCATCGGTCTGTAATTTTAGCAATCTTTATAAATATGTCTGTCTTTTGTGGAGCAGTTTACAAAATATGTGCACCATGAACCCATTTTAAATACATATCTACATATACATAGAGATATAGATAAATAGATAAGTGGGAGGTGTATAGAAAGGGAAGAAGGCAGAGAAGCAGACTATATAAAGCTATATCTTTAAATGTTAAAATGCTTAATTGTGGGTGGCAAACTGTGGAGTATTTTTAGCTTCCTTTTCTTATTTATGTTTTTTTACCTCTCTAAAATGAAACAGTATTATTTGGGTAATTAAACAATAAAATTACTTTAAGATTCTTTTGACAAGCCCATGTGCTTTCATAGTCTGATCACATGTGATGCAATGTTAACCAGAAATGTTTTTCTTGGTATAGAAGCATCTCACCTCAACAAAAAGGTACTGATTAAGGTGCAACACTAAATACGCAGCAATTACCAACAATGACACATACCTGTAAAAAAACAAATCGAGTAATCAATCTGCTGGAAAATGTACACTCAAAATACGTTTGCCACTTTAATAGAATTCTCCAAGTGCATTTAGTAACACATCATTCTTAGCTATAATCTTGCCCTCATTCCTGATGATGATGAATTTCTTCCCAGGAATATAGGACAAAATTGCAATTATATCAGAGTAAATATGTGACTGAAAGAATTGGTGGGTGTGGATGCAGGCCTTACCTACATGATAGGCAGGCATGAGTTTTAATCCCCCAGGAAAAAAAGTTAGATGAGGGGTTTTTTTTTGGGGGGGGGCTGTTTTGTTTCATTTTTTTGAAATAAAGAAGGCCCACATTTCTAATGCTTATTAGCTAATGTTTAGCTAGAAGGGTCACCAATCATTAAATTATTTTTATAGGCAGCTTAGCAGAAGCTTTGTTTCCATGACAACAGACAATGTATGGAAAGGTTAAAAAAAAAAGTTAATGGGATTTGTGGTGATCTCAATAATGCTCTATGGAAATCATTCATTAATCTGATTTTCCTATTTCTCATGCTTCCATGCCAACTGCAGAACTGGATTTTCTGGGGCTGGCTAATGTTGGAAATAATGCATTTTTGAGAGCTCTGAAGTGCCTTTTTCCTTGGGAGTTGAGACAGAGAGTTTGAGAATCCCTCCCTGAGCTGAATATGGGCAGGGGCCACTATAAAAGACACCCAGAACACTTAAAACTGAGCAAGGAAAATGGAGATTTGGTCAGAGCAGCAAGCCCAAGTTTATCTCATAATTTGCTCATAATTAAATATTATATGAGGAAAAGAGATAGCAGCCTGCTTTCCAAATTCCTGAAATAAGTCACAGGGTGGATGATGGTGGAAAAAGATTGAAGGATGGGCAAAGTGTGAGTAGAATGATAGGAATTCTATTACAACACGACTGAACATTTTAGACCCAAATAATACAGCTCAATGAAAAGACTACTTCATGTAGACATGGCCATAGTTTTGCTATCAGTAGAACATTTGGAATGGAATATGGTTTTTTCACTATTTGAAAAATTCATCTGTTGATGGTGAGGCTTTTTTTACTTGTCCTCAACCTAGTTTTAATTTTTTAAAAAGATTTATTTAGTGCTTGCTTCGGCAGCACATATATTAAAAAGATTTATTTATTTATTTATTTGAGAGAGAGAGAGAGAGAGAGAGAACACATGATAGGAGGAAAGGCAGAGGGAGAGGGAGAGAGAGAGTCTCCAGCAGATCCCCAGCTGAGCATGGAGCCCGACTCAGGGCTCAGTCTCAAGACCCTGAGATCATTACCTGAGCCGAAATCAAGAGCCAGACACTTAACTGACTGAGGGACCCAGGCATCCCTAATTTTTTTTTTTTAACAAAAATACAAGAGAACAAATCTATACCTTTATTTATTTACTTTTCAGTAAGTTTAAATCCTTGAGAGGTACAATATCACACGGATTCTGTGGCCAGTGGCTTTAGCAGGAAGGTTTCTTTGGAATTTGGCATGAACCATGCCACTGTTTCCATGAGCGCATGTTACTTTTCTCCAGATTACTCTGGTTTTGTTTGGTTTGCCCACAGGAGTCACCGTGTTGTTCTTTGCTCTGTACACATAAGCACATCTCTTGCCTAGATTGAATTCTGTTTCATCTTGCGCATAAACACCTTCAATTTTAAGAAGAGCTGTGTGCTCCCTCTGGTTCCAGAGACCCCTCTTATAGCCAGCAAAAATGGCCTTGGACCAGGCTTCCAGACATATTTATCATTTTAGGAGTCCTGTTCCCAGGAGGCCTACACAGGTTCCAAGATGAGGGAAAGAGAAAGGCCAACCCAGTTTTAATTTTTATTAAGTATTCCAGATGTAGATGTTTTAGAATCCACAAATAATGTTGCTTTCTGACCAGACTTAGAATCTATTTATTTCTGTGTCTTGAATGGTCTATACTAGCCAGTATCACCTTGACTTTGTGTGTGTTATGTATAAGTTTGAGTCACATTGTTTTGTGTCAGTGTAAGGACTGCAGTTATCCTTGGTATATCTTTTAGGAATATTACAATCCTCTCTGATGTGTCCTCCTCCACCTTGAAAATTCTTTTTAAGGAACCAAGAGTTTATAAAGCAAAAAAACAGATATTCACATGTAAAAAACAAAATCCCAACTTTAACACAACCAATAAGACCACCAAACAGTGTATATTAGTATAGACTTAAAATGCTATTGTTTTCAGTGTGCCCATGGATTCAGTGGAAGAAGTTTAGAATTATACTTTGAAAAAGAAGTTGAATTGTGCTAAGTCACAAGGATGTTACTTTTAAGTATAGATTTGGGAGAGAAATGAAAGCATTTATCTTACCAAAAAAAAAAAAAAACTTTAGGGTAAAAGAGAATGCTAAACAAATACTGCCAATATGACTCCAACCCATGGATGACCTTCTCCAACACTTTATCTCACACCTGTTGAGACTTTAATCAGATTATGATTGAGTCCCAGATCCTTGCTCCAAAGTCTTCTGTGGAAATCACACCAATTCAGAATGAAGTAAAAAAAAAAAAAAGCTCTTAAATTGTTCCAATATGTTACTGATGCTTTCTGACCTTTTTCTGTGTGGCTGTTTCTCCCAATGAAAATTTCACTCAGTCGGGCGCCTGGGTGGCTCAGTCGGTTAAGCGGCTGCCTTCAGCTCAGGTCATGATCCCAGGGTCCTGGGATCAAGCCCCACATCGGGCTCCTTGCTCCGCGGGAGGCCTGCTTCTCCCTCTCCCACTCCCCCTGCTTGTGTTCCTGCTCTCGCTGTGTCTCTCTGTCAAATAAATAAATAAAATCTTTAAAAAAAAAAAAAGAAAAGAAAATTTCATTCAGTAACAGTGATGAGGAAAGACCCCTTGACCCAGTGAGGACTCATCCCTTCTGTGACATCAGCTTTCTTCAGTTTATTCAGTAGGCACTAGCTCTACACAGAGCTGAGTAGAGTTAGCAGAGTGTGGGTTGTTCCTCCTAAAATCATGTATTTCCGTGCTCTTCATTCTTGTGAAGGCTTCAACATAATTTTCTTTTTCTTGCCAGGGAATTCTATGTGGAGACGAGTATAGGAAGCTGAAGGGAGTCCACTGGCCATGCCTATGAGGGCATTCAAGGACAAGGCAGAAGAGGACTTGTTAGGAATTTGCTCCGGGATTGATTTAGGAAATTTAGAGGGAAAAAGAACAGCAACAGACACTTCAAGATTTAGGAACATTGCTGTTTCTCATGGGAACTGTTTACCTTCTGACAGAGAGTGCTCAGAAAATGGGAACTAGAAGGAAATTTGAAAAGGACGGACGTGCTAAATGTACACCTTTTCTTTATATAGTATCACCACTGCAGGAACAATGACTATAGTAATTGAGAGTATGGCAGCTGCCTTGTGAGGGGATAAGCCCAATCGAAGTATTAACTTATTAAGGCTGAAAAAGATATAATGTCTTATGTCAATACTTGGATTAAAATAAATCATCTAAACAAAAGCCAGGGGTTTTCTGACTTATGTATGTCTCTATAAAACTTAGCAAAACCTAGAATAACCTTCCACTGCATAATTCTCCGGAGTCATGAAAATAAGGTGATTTGAGTAAAAGCAAGCCTTAGTGCCTGATAAGGGTTGAATTGTGCCCCTCCTCCCCAAATGCATATGTGACTTTCTTTGGAGATAGGGTCTTGACAGAGGTAATAAAGTTAAGATGAAGTCATTAGGGTGGGCCCTAATCCAGTAAGGCTGGTGTCATTACAAAAAGGGGAAATGTGCACGTAGAGATACCCACTAGTGATGTGAAGAGACACAGGAAGAAGATGGCCGTGTATACATTAAGGAGAGAGTCCTGAAACAGATCCTTCCCTCCTCACCCTCAGAAGGAACCCACCCTGCCAACACCTTGATTTTGGATTTCTAGTCTCCAAAACCGTGAGAAAATAAATTTATGTTGGTTAAGCTACCCAGGCTGGGGTACTTGGTTATAGTGCAGAGTTGTAGTCCGCAGCAATCCCATCAAGGACCAAAGCGATTGGTCCTGGCCAGAGTCTTAGGCTTCATCCATCTTTTCCTTCTCAGGGTCATTGATGCCAGACTGGGAGGCCAGAAAGAAGATGAAATGTGAGTCGCCAATATGTCAAATCAACTAATGAGAAGGTGGAACAGAAACACAGAGCCACTGGAGTTTGATTACTCTCATGATTTATTAATATTCAGATTGAAAAAGGAGCCTTAGAGCCGCAAGTTAAGCTAATTGGCACATTTGCTTTATTTATTTATTTGTTTATTTATTTATTTTCAAAACAAACTGGGTTTTTGATTTTTTTCCTTTTTGTTCATTCCATCACATTAAAAGGAGGAAAAGAAAAATGGTTTTGAATTCACTCGATATTTTGGACTCCTCAGATGAACGGAACATTGCACACACACTTGGAACAGAGAGATAGAGAGGAAGGTGGACTCCCACAGGGCCACACGCACCAGATCAAAAAACTTGGATACAGTGCAAGAATTTCCCAAAATGATTGGATCATCATTACCAAAAACTCGCCATAACAACACCAAGAAACAAAAAATGTTTAAGCCACACTGTTTGACTTGGGATCTTTCCTGCTTTTTTTTTTTTTTTAAATGTTTGCCACACAGAGAGAAAGAGGGCTAGTGGGTAGGAGAGGACAGACTCACGGACGTGAGCAGGACAGGAAGGGAAACTTCAGAGTGGAGTTGAGAAGAGGGTGGGGAGAGACAGGGTTCAGGAGAGGGGAGGGTGGGGACGTGGAAAGCCATTTCTTAAAGTTCAGGCATGTTCTTGGTCCGCCTCACGTTCTTCTCCTTTACCCTCATCCTGCCGGGCACTTTCCTTAGGTTTGGTTTCATCTACAGCTTCTGAGGAAGAAAACAAGGTGGGGAGGGGGGAGAGGGGGTTAGTATTTTGTCTCATTTGTTCATATGATAATGCAATGCATTTCTCCTTTTCATACCATTTCTTAAGAGATTTAAGATAAAAAGAGATTTTGCTATCCCAGTAATATAATTGCCAAGTTCAGAAGATGTTACCTCCAGGAGGCTATTCAGTGACAGGTATGCACGAGCTCAGGAACAAAGCTATGCACTGGGGGAAGGAGCCACTAAACAGAAATTACCATGGTCTTTAATCTCTCAGTCTTGCAATTAAGATATCCATACATAGGCTCTTCAAATAAGGAAACAACAACAATCTTGTATCTCTTTTCCATCAAGGTCAGGCTAATTGTGACAGATAGTTTTTGGGCATCATTGAACAGCCATTCCAACTCTCTCACCCCTTATTTGTGGTGTTAGGCTGGAAAGTAAAATACTTGAATTTCCAGATCCCCTTGAAGCTAGGGGTGTCCATATAACACAGTGATGGCCAATTAGATAGAGAAAGAATTCCCTGGGGAGGGTCCCAGAGGAGGACGTTGCCCTTTACTTTCTGCTATTCCTGATGACTGAGACATTGCTCAGTACCTGGTAGTGTAGCAGCTATCTCCTGACCATGAAGACAAAAACTATACACTAAGGATGGTGGGGCAGAAAGATGGAGAAAAAAAACTATCATTGAGTGACCTCTCACTCCTACACATCTTTTCCTCACACTTTTTTTTTTTTTTTTTTTACTATTATGAGACAAATAGCTAACCTCTAAACTAAACCATAGTAGTTCTTAGTTTCTTGCAGTCAAGGAATATTCCAACTGAATATACTTATCCATAAGGCAAGGTGCTTTGCTTAGCAAGGAAGACTGCGTCTTTTTAAAGGCTAATTTTTCCTCAGGAAGTAGGCAAATTTTCTAACTCTTCTGCCTGATTTCCTGATAGACTCAGTCAACTGATTTCATGTTACAGTCAGTTTACTAATATGCCAGCTAGTTAAAAGAGAACTCCTTTGCCCTACAATCACCTGTGTTGGTAACCTAAACTCCTTGTGTTGGGTGTCCCTCAGATTACCCCCAGGCTCAGTAATTTGTTAGGACTCACAAGACTCAGTATACAGTCCTATTCATGGGTATGATTTACCACAGTGAAAGGATATAAAACAAAATCAGCAAAGGGAAAAGTTGCATGGGATAAAGTTTGGAGGAAATTACACACAATCTTCCAAGAGTCCATTCCCTATGGAGTTATACAGGATGTGCTTAATTCCTTCAGCAATGAACTGTGACATGTATGAGATGTCATCCACTAGGGAAGATCACCTGAGCTTACAAATACTGAGTTCTTACCAGAGGCTGATCATGTGGGCAACCTCTACCTCGCATGTACCAAATCCAGACTCCCAGAAGGAAAACAGATGTCCAGCATAAACCACATTGTTTGCAAAAGAGTTTAGGCATAGTAAAGACTCTTAGTTAGGGAATGGTAAGAACCCTCTCAAAATCCAAGTTGCTAGATGCCAGCAAAGGATCAACTTCACAAGCAGCCTTTCTAAGAATTGAGAAATGTTGAGACTAGAGAAATCAGGGCCTTATAGGAGACCATTAGAAGAATTCATACAAATGTATGTCTCTTTCAAATCATTCAGCTATATATTTATATTCAGATAAAGCTCAACGTCCACATCCAAATAAGACCACTACTGGAAATACATTTTTGGAATTCTTTCTTTGGAACAAGCGTCTGACAATATCCTTTTTAAATCTTTAGCAGAAAATGCTTATCTCCTTGAAAATAGATTTGATTTTTAGAATGAAATGAGGCTGGTCTGGTAAATAAGGTAGCAGCTATGATGGATGATTTTCATGTTACAATGACTCGTTTTTTTAAAGATTTATTTATTTGAGAGAGAGAGAATACAAGTGGGGGAGGGGCAAGGGGAGAGGGAGACAAGCAGACTCCCCACTGAGTGGGGAGCCCAAAGTGGGGCTTGATCCCAGGATCCTGAGATCATGATCGGAGCCAAGATCAAGAGTTGGGTGCTTAACCAACTGAGTCACCCAGGCACCCCTACCATGACTCATTTTTGGCCAAAGTTTTTAAGTCTGATTTATTTGGGGAATCTGTCATTGACCATAAGTTATTTCCAAAATGTACTTATTACAGTAAGGCTACCTACCATTACTCATAAAGATATTTTAAGGCTATAACCTTCTAAGTTGACCATTATCAGCATACCAATCATATTTTCCAGGAATAAGTTTTTGTATGAAAAGACTAACTCAGTTCTGATCACTGTAATGCTCTATGTACCAGCATTGTTCTCATGGATTATAGAACTTTGGTGTACTAAAGAATCAGCTGATTTTCTGCCAGAAGAAAGTTCTCAGATTTATTTCGGTGAGGTTCATTTATAGCAATTTGGAATTCTTTTAGAGAGTTTACTTTGTTCCCAGCCCCGCTCAAAGCTTTGGATACCACAAGTATGCCCAAGGTGCTTTACTATCCTTACCACCCAGAGAACAATATATTTAGTGCCCTCTTCAAACCGCAAAAGAAAGAGAACCTTGATTTAAAGTGGCCAGAAGCATAGAGAAGGTTCAGTTGTAGGAACAAGACAAGACTTTAAGCTTTTCTTTCTAAAATAAAAACTTGGGAGCTATGAGGTAGTTTTGAGGGAGATTAGGGAACTTGAGAGAAAAGGTAGAAGCAGGATAGGGAAGGTGAGAAGAACTGTTTGCAGAATAAGGGGACAACACTCCAAAAGGGAAAACAAAAGAACAAAGATTCAAGAAATCCTGAGAAGCAGCCATACTTTCTGTCCTCTGTTGGAGTAGAGGCAGGTTAAATCCTCCCAAATTCCCATACTTTATCTTGTCACCCTTCGTCTGGCCCTAGGAGAAAAGGCGAAACTTGTACACATCTGTTTATTGTGACAGGAGGTGCTGCTGTCCACTCCCTATTAAAAGAGCTTCAATATCTAATTTCCTTTAAAAGCTTCAAAGTATTTGAAATATAATTATTTATTCATTTACTTGTTCAGTAAGTTGTTATTGAATACCTGCAATGTGTCAGACATTCTTCTAGATATTGAGAAGAAGAGGTGAAAAAAACAGCAAATATTCTTGCTCTCACTTAAGCCTTTCAACAATATGCCTTTAACAGACAATGAAATCCATAATCAGAGAATGTTGGCAGGGAGAGGGGCCTCAAAGAACATCTAGTCACTAGACATAACTCTTCAAGGGTAACGACAATATCATTTTGCTCGACTTTGAACTCTCCCGTGTCTAGCACAGAACCTAGAGCAGAAAGGGCCCTCAGTAAACATTTGTTGAATAAAAGAATGAATGGACATCCTCACTTTATAGATGAGGAATCAGAAGTCCAGGTATTTCCCTGAATCATATGGTTTTCTCATGACCTAGCCAGGACTAAAACCTAGAAGTTCTACTAATCTTGGTTTCCCCATTATATCAGGTGGCCAAACTTGACCAGAGGAGGGCAAGATCAAATCAGTTTTATCAATTCAGCATTAGAAATGAGTAGCTAGGGTCCACAGGCTTTCAGTGATCTACAAAATTTCTGAGATTAAGAACGGATCATTGGCTCCAAAATTTTAAAATAAAAACCATAAAATTAAAACTGATGAAGTTCAATTAGTTGACTACAAAAGGGAACATGTCAGTCAGTTAGCTGGAACTCAATTTATTGAACACATACAATTATATATACATTATATTTTATATGAGATGAGAGGAGTTTTTTTAAATTTTATTTACTTGATATTACTGAATAATGAAAAAAGGTGTCATCTTTGTATTAAAAGAAGGGATGACTAGCTGGTAGAAATAAAATGTGTCAAGTCAGTGGATTCAGTGAATTTATATAGGCCTCCAGGAAATTATGGGGAGAAAAAATATGGAGGAAGGAAACAGTCTAAAGTAAGAATCTTCTACAACCACAAAAGTAAAGCAAGCTAAGAACTCATAATAATATTTTTTAGGACCTACACAAAAACAGAAACAAGCTAAAATAAACCTACATGCAAATGAAGGAAACAGTAATCAGCTGTGGAGCATATACCTGCTCTAGCTAGATCCACTTTGATGGGAGACTGTGTATGAGTTTGGGCAAGGTTTTAACCTTAGACAAAGGTGAAGTTATTGGAAGCAGAATCCAAGAGCTGTGTATAAATGCATCCATTTGAGCCTGAATGCCAGAGAGAACTTCTGGATATTGCGAACTTGTTCCTTCTCCTTCCGATACCAACTCTAGACAAGTCATTGTAGTTAATAAATCATGTTGACCATATACTTGTATAGCTACAGTTTTTTACCTCTTCTATTCAGCAGCCTCACTGCCTGGAAAGAACCACAAATTATGACTTTCCTGACCTGTTGTATAAAGTATTTAGCTGTAGCTAACATTGTTGAGCACTTTACTATATGCTCACTCAAAGCAGTTCTACGTGTACTTGTGTCATGTCATTGAATCCTTGCAGCTCTTTAATCGTCCCATTTTACAGCTGGGAAGCTGAGGTATAGTGAGATGAAGTAACTTACCTAACGCTAGACTGTTTGTCAATGGCAGCAGTAAATTTCAAACTAGGACAGAGACATCTAGGCAGCTTCTATTTTAGATTGCCTGCCCCCTGCCCTTATCTTTGCCCCGGAAGGATGGGTGGGCTCATCCTCTAGAGTGGGAACTAGAGGAGGGGGTCCATGGGTACCTACTCCTGCAGCCTACAAAGTCCAAAACCTGGCCCTAATAAAAGCAGCTCAGAATGGAGGGAAGAATCTTGATTAGTCTTGAACAATATGAAATCTGGTCTTGGCACTCTCTGGCACTAATTAGATAATTGTAAATGCTAGAGATGAGTTAATATGTAATCTTTAGTATTTTGTACGAAAACTTTGATCACCATGGTGAGTGTCAGAGATAGATGAATGGCTGAGGCCAGCTGGTCACTCCAATTATCATGATCCAATC